GGTTGGGGAATTTCACAACCAGATGTTCTATTAAATTTGCCAAATTTGTTTTTGATGGGTAGAGCAAAGATGAAATGAGACCGAGGAGTATTTGAAATAAAGACCTATGTGATCTTTTGTGGGGAATATATATATATATATATATAATTTTTTTTTTCTTCACCCCTTTATTTTGGCAAAAGATCACTTACATGTGGTCTCTATTATAATAAGATAAATTTCAAAATAAAATTAACATAACAATAAAATTCATACCGAGTCACCACCATATTTACTAGCTTCAATCTCGAACCGGGAAAGCAAATTTCGGCCAAGCCACACTAATGGAACATGAACCCATTTGATCACAAACTCAAACCTTAGGTGAATTCTCTTAGCAACTTAGTTTGAGAGAGATGGATTCTCTTTTTGCTAAACCCTAAAACCCCTAGCCATAAATTCATATTTGAGAGATAAGAGAGAGAAAAACTCCATAACCTAAACCCTTAGGTTCTTTCACAATGTGGGAGTGAGAGATCAAACATGAGCGAGAGAAACTTTTTTAAGAGAGAGAAATAGAAAGATAAGATGTACAGATTTTGGGTAGAGACAATCCCTTTTTATAAGCTTCGAATAAGATTATGATTTCTTAGGGTTTTCTTTGGCTTGTCTCATCTTGTAAGATTGAACATAGACCGTCGATCAATGGTGACTTGTGGGGTGAGAGATCTGAGTCATCCATTCCATAGATAGGCCATCAACATTATGGAAGGTGCATGAACCATTATCTTCTTTTCCTAAACTATTTTCTCATAAATAGAAATTAAATAAATTAAATCTAATCAAAATATTGTGCATACCATAAAATAACACAAGTCTACTCAAATCTTTCCACAAAATCTTTCAAAAATATATCAAGTCAATATCTGCCAACCATATGGCCACATTCCATATCACCAAAAAATAGGAGGCACTCAAGGGAGGCACTCATAGGCCCCACTTTTTAAAAATATGGCGGGCCAATAGTGTACAATGGCCCTCATGATATTTTTATATATTTAAAATTAATAAAAAGATTTTAGAATATTATTTGAATATTTAAACAATTGTAAAATCAATATATTTAATTTTATAAATCCCAAAAGTATAAATAAAATATCTATAATTTCCATCATAAAACAAACACAATTAAATTAATTTGATGGGAAAATGATCCATATGGTTTAGGAATCAACAATCATGGGACACTCCACCTTCAACTGTGGACTACATACCACACTTGCTTTATCAGACGGACCCAATGTTTTTCATGACCCACAGTCCAAGCAGAGGTTCATTAGCTGGTCACCAAAGTTCGGCAGATGAGCCAAGGGATGGCAATCCTAGTTGGATTTCAGGTCCTCCCCTAGAGACAAGTCAAGGACACCAAGACCTTATGCGACCGTAGTTCTATGACGCATATGGGTATCTGTCGTACATGTGCTTCACCCTAAAAGGTGGATTTCTGGCTTTTTCGAACGATCTATCGATATGCATGCCGTGTGATGATACATAGATGAGGTTTTGACCCCTGTCTCTGTAGGCCACCATCACACACAAGTGTCACACAGTTTCTTGGCTCACTCATCCGCGCATGTTCTCCGACCTCATCAAGGGCTAACTCATAAACCCTCATAGATTTGTTCTTTATGCCCAGGTAACATGGGTTTTTTCCAACCGACCTGCCTAGATCGTTAAGCACAGATCGGTATCAGCAAACCATCATTTTCTTAGTATAGTTCACGAGGGACCACACTCCCACTAAGTTCATCTTCCATTATATCATTTCATTTTACAAGCACTCATAAGGCCTTTAAAGGCCACATAAACCCAACAGTATTTGGGTGGCACCAGAGAGTGGGAGATTTAAGTTAAATTTTGATGGGAGCCCTCTAGGTAATCCAGGTTTGGCAGGCATTCAGGGTGTGGTGCGAGACTATTTTGGAGAAGTCATCTTCTCATATGTTGGCCCTATTGGTATAGCCACAGCTAATTGATCGGAGTTATGGGCTTTGTTGCAAGGGTTAAAAATTTGTATATCTAGAAACATCGAGAATATCTGCATTATTGAAGGAGATTCATTGATCGTAATTAATTGGTGTAAGAAGGAGCAGCGTATTACATGGGAACTAAGGTCTAGCTGGTTGCAGATTATGGATCTGGTGGCTTTACTTTCAATTTCTTTTTGTCTGTCTTTCGCGAGGTAAATTTTTTGGCTGACTTTTTCTCTAAAAGGGGGCCTCTTTGTCTGCTCTAGCTATCTCCTCTGATGTAATTTCTTTTGAATAGATTTTATAAATAAAGTCAAGAATATTTGTAAAAAAAAAAAACATAACTCTCTCTCTTCAAGTTCCTTAAACACAAATCACTCTCTCTCTTACTCTTTTGCAAAACATAGTTGGGAGTGTATACAATGAGATCATTTACCTTTGGAATAGGGAGGTCACAATTACTTACAAGCATCCAATGTAAAATTTGATAGTTGGGTGTGTCACAAAGTTCGAAAAAAATTCTTTTAAAATTTGAGCTTTTTCAATAAAATAAATACAGCCACCAAATTTTATATCCAACAATCAAGATTTATTATAACCACTATGTACCGAAGGTAAACATTCTCATTATATTCTTTCCCTACATGGTTCTCTCTCTTGCTAAACTTCTCTCTCCCACAAAACATAGCTCTATCTCTCTCTCTAGCCAAAGCCTAAACATAGCTCCCATTCTCTCTCTAGCCTTTTGTTGAACATAGCTCTCTCTCCTACAACTGTATAACATATTTGTTAATTGTGTATAGCTAATAGTAACATACACGCCCATCCTTAAGGGCTCTATCTTTAAAAAAAAATGAATGTTTTCACTGGTTTCAATAGCCTTGTCAAAAACTAAATATCGTTCCTTGATTTTGGTTAAAGTAGGCATAATCTTTTTTCTGTTGCTGCCTAGGCTATGCTCCCGCGAGGGCAACACTATGTGTATACTCCCTCGATCAAAGCACTTGAAGATTTCGTTGGTCTAAGATTTGGGAAACCATATGAGAATTACTAGATGATTATTTTTAAAAGAATAAGATTGAATTTTGAGTTTTAACACTTAGATCTAGTATGTTAAAAATTGAGGCAGTTGTTTGGTTTTTTTTTAGTACGTGGAGAATTTATTTCATAAAGTTTTTAAACTGAGATTAGTCTATGAGTTGTAGAGATTACATCCCCAAAATGTAAGATTTAAAAGGTATCCGTAGTGCATGTTTTGGTCAAAGGGATAAATAGATAGTATACTCCCGAGGGAGTAGGAAACCTTTTGGCAAAAATATATCGTAAAACTAATTAAAAATTAATTGCACTGCAGTAACTAAAAATGTGCAACTGTATCCTATGTACACTGTTAAACTTGGTCTAAAGTGGTGCTATATGGACAGTGTGTCTCACCAAAGGGATCTAGTCCTTTGACATTGAAAGGTTCATACTGCTAGACATTCATGAATATTATTATTTGGAAATGAAGTATTGTACCTTTTAGTACATATATAGTATTATGGTCTTTTTAGTATAAGAAATAGGCACCTCAAAAACATATGTCGTGTGTTGACATGTGACACCAGTCAAGGGCTAAAGTGGCATTGTGATAGTGTACTAATATTAAGGGTGGCAATGGCTAAGGTCAGGTCCCGGTTGACTTGGACCCAGATCCAACCAATACCCAACTCAGGTCCAAGGTTTTGGACCTAACCCCAACTTGATTTGTTTATATGTCTAGAACCTAATAAAGACATTTTGGAAAAAATATTCAAAAAAAAATAATTTCATATATATATATATATATATATAGGCAAATTTATCAAAATATTATATATTTAAAAAAGATTATATACACGTATGTATGTGTATTTTAAATATATATATGTGTGTGCGTTGGGCCGACCTAGACCCGGATCCGACTCGGGTCCAGGGTTTTGGACTTGGACCCAACCCATCAGGTCCAAAACTTACTAGAACTAGACCCGGATCGGGTCGACTTGGACTTGATTTCCACCCCTAACTAATGTGTGTGTGTGTGTTCGGGTTGGGCCAACCTAGACCCGGATCCGACTACGGTCCAGGGTTTTGGACCCGGACCCAACCCATCAGGTCCAAAACTTGGACTAGACCCAAGCCCGGATCGGGTCGACTTGGACTTGATTTCCACCACCAACTAATATGGCATGGTTATGATGTGATTCTTATTTTAAGAAGGAAGTTTGGACACTGCGAATGCTTCTTCCAATCTCCAACCAGTGTAAAACATATCATGAGTTTAGTTTCTTTGGTATAAGTTATAGAAGAAGATCATAGAATTGTGAGACATGGTATTCAACTACCATAAGTTTCTGAATTAGAGTAGTTTTTTCCAAGCATATATAGAAGCTTCTTCTTCTTCTTCATTTTTTTTTTTTTTTTTTTTGTGCTAGGTAAAGAAGAGGTTGATTTTCGTTCTTTTTTCCGTGTAAAGAAGACACTACCTTCATTTTTATTTTTTTTGTTTTTGGTAGCTAAGAATTTTCTAATAGATTTAGTTTATCAGCTTATTGGAGGATGTGCCGGATTCACCTTGTGCTTGCAACCTTTGCCACCATTCACCAGGGCAGGGGTTTCATGAAATTATGGATATTATTTGTGGAAGGTTCTGTCACTGGGGGGATTTGTATAGAGGGGTTATGGATCATAAGATGAATTCTTAGTTAATTGATCTCCTGTGGAAAATATTGATTGATCGCATGCTTAAAAAATTACAGGTTTCTTTGGATCATCACAAAACATAACTAAATTTTGTGTGTTCAGGCATATTCAGAGTGTAATCAGAGTCTCTAGTTTAAAGATGGAAGGCATTGCAATGGTTACTCTTGGCATGTAACAACTTCGAGAATGAAAAAAGTATTTCACTAATTGAGGCATCATTGCCTTCTACACAATGTACTAGCGGAATTAAAATGGCCAAATACCTCTATAGAAGAGAAAGTGGCAGTGTTGGTTCTCTCTTAAAAACACAGAGGAGTTCACAAAATTTTCAATAGAAAATATTGGACAGTAAAAAACCAAATGATTACACTACAATGGACTCCACCCAATTCGGTAGCAGCCATGAAAGAATAACTCTCTCTTGTTTTTTTAGTTACAGGGGAAATTACATTCAATGGACATATAGATTTGAATTTTGAACCCCTGTCCTTTGGCTTCTTCCTCCACTTTCATTGCCTTTAACCTGCCACAAAAATAAGCATTCTGCATTTATCATGCCTTGAACATTTTTCCTATGGGACTCGCTTAGCAAAAAACCCTCTGCAACAACATCAACATTGACAAACAACAACAGTGACAAAGTAACAAAATGTCCTCTGGTTTTCTCATGGAAACTGGAAAGTGCCCCCAATCTGTGTGGTCCCCTTAGGAGGATTGATTGCTATCCAAAGTAGCGAAATAGTGATGGCAATCAGGCCCGACCATACAAAAACAATTGTGGGTGTCCTTCCCCTTCGGCCCATCAACCCTTTAGCGAATGGATACAGGTGTGCCAACACCCAGAAACTGAAAAACACCCCTCCCAAAAGCTTGCTCCATTGTGGTATCTGACTGTAAATGGTCCTTGAGAACCCAACTGCAATTGCTATCAAATTCACCATCATGATTGTTATGGGTGGGATCATTAAAGAGGTCCACTTTACCATGTAGAGATCAGCAAACATGTCGTCATTATCGTCCCCTCCCGACTTAGTAGTCAGGGTAAAGGAAATCTCTATTCCTGCAATCACCTTTAGAAGCCCTTGCACCACGGCAGCAAGGTGTGCGCTTGTTCCCCCGATGAGCCAGAACTGTTCATTTCTCCACCATTCTTCTAGCCCAATGCCCGACCACTTCACCTCGAGTATGGCCAAGAGAGTGAGGGTGATGGTGATTATGAGGAGATAGACAAGGAAGGTGACATTTAGGGTTTGAACTATGAAGTGACCGGAGAAGAGAGAGAGGGCCGGAAGGAAGCAATAGACAATCAGGAAGATGGAGGTGAAGGGATAGATACCTACATTGAGGTAGGCTATCCTCTGGAGAATCTTCATCTTTGTACTGGCGAGTAATGCATTGTTGCGAGAGAAGAATATCTCGACTGAACCAGTGGCCCATCGAAGCACCTGGTGTAGCCTGTCGGTGAGGTTGATGGGTGCACTCCCTCTAAACGCGTCACGCTTTGTGATACAGTAAACCGAGCGCCACCCCCTGTTATGCATCCTGTATCCTGTGACCACATCTTCTGTTACCGAGCCATAGATCCAACCCACTCTATCACCCCACTCTGTCTTATCTTCATACCAACACGAGATAACAGATACGGCCTCGGCCACTGTATGTGCATCAAGGGGCTCACGAGGGACGCAAAGGGCTCCTGGGGGCCGCCCGTGCCGCACAGCAGGGTGGTCCGCCAGCGGCCTGCCCTGGTACTCAGCGACACGTATGGATTGAGCCAAGATGGTTGAGTTTCCAAACCTCTTTGGATGGATGGCGGCATCGAGCTCGTCATCCTCATTGTCTCTCAGTGCCTGAGTCTCAGAGTCGACTGGGGCGCTGTGATCCTTCTTCTTTTTGCCGAGCCACGATCGAGTAGAGTCTTTGGGGGGGTCAAAACCGTAGAGCGCAAAGCGTCGGAAGAGGCACCCTGTGCCCACATAGACTGGGCCTTGTAAGCCATCGAGGGCACGCATGTTTCCGTCGAAGAAGACCGTGTTATGATTAGCATATCTATCAGAGGGGTCGATGCCTTCGAAACGCTGGGGAAATTGAATATAGCATATGGTATCCCCTCCCCTATCCATCATGAAACACATTCCTTCTCGGATGGCAAGGCAGTTGTAGATGTAGTGGTCGCAGTCGAGGTTGAGTATAAATGGGCCATTGGACATCACGGCCGAGGCTCGAACCAAGGCGTTCATGGCGCCAGCCTTTTTGTTGTGGTCGTAGCCGGGGCGCTTCTCACGGGAGACGTAGACGAGCATAGGAAGGCGGATGTCGACGTCAGTGAAGTCGATGATTTTCTCGTCAGTGCAGCCGAGAAGGGGATCACTGCTTGGGGCCTTGAGCATCACCTGTGTAAAGAGCAAACAGTGTTCGATGGCAATTAGCATTTGGCAATGGCAATGCTATGGTGGGGCTGGGCTCGTCTGTCTCATGCAATTGCCTCTAGGCTGGTCTCGTGTGCAAATTGTATGTATGTGGGTGTGTCTCGAATATGCATACCTGAAGGATACCTGCATGGTCACCCTTTGAGTGGTCCGGGCCCGGGACGGCCCAAGACCCAGGCCAGTGGGTCCCATCAGCCATCCACGTCGCCTTCTGCACCTTGAGTGGCTCTAAGGGGTCGCCTCCACTCTCCCTCATGTGCTTCAACATCTTCATCTCCTCCCTTGCATTAAATGCATCTGACCTCCTCCTAATTGAATCCGGTAAACTGTTAATCCTTACCTTGAACTCATCATACTCCCTCTTAACCCTCCTCCTGTCCTTCACAAAATCCGACCTCAACTTATTCTTTGTAGGGTCCCCTTTCACGTTAAAATAACTATCTGGGTTCCTCGGTTCTATCTCGTGCTTTCTACAGAATGGGACCCACACATCAGCAAAGCTCGCAGCCTCAGCCATGGCTTCGAAGGTAAGGAGGGCCCCACCATCATCCGAAACATAGCATGAGAGCTTCTCGACCGGGTAATCAACAGCGAGGATCGACAAGATAGTGTTGGCTGTGACCAAGGGGGGCTCCTTGTCTGGGTCCGCCGTTGAGACAAAGACATCAATTCCTGGTAAGTCTGAGCGGCCGGTGGGGTTGGAGGGAGAGGGCATGTCGAACTTGTCTCTAAGGACCGAGAGGTCAGTGGCTCTGTTGATGGGGCAAAGCTTCGGCATCTGGTCGAGGAGCCATGAGAAGGCGAACCATAGCTCGCACACGATGGACATGCCCCATAACCACATTGCCTCCTCATTGGGGTGGCGAACTCGCCATATGAGAAAGAGGATCAGAACCACAAAACGGATGAAGATGAGGAGACGATATGGGCTGATGATGGCTGCTGGGATTTGGATTACGCGTGTCAGGGGCTTCCATGGCTTGTCTGCAAAGTCTGACATAGGGCCTCCGGCCCCCATTCCGTTATCTGGAATATCAAGAAAAAGTGAGTGGCAATGAATGTCGTATTCTAGGGACAGTATAGTCAATTGTGAGTGTCATGAGCATAGGTGAGCGTATTTTGGTCTATTTATTTTTTGTGGTATTTTAATGGGATTGACAATGCCATATAAGGGCAATATGAAAATTGGCGCATATATTTAAGAGTATCTTAGTCCCTCTTTCATAGGGGCATTGCATATGATAGCATTAACACTTTGGTTCACCTCTTAATTTAATGGAATGATGAATTAGAGTTGCAACCTCTTGTAAGTGTATCTCAGTCTTCTATGTTTTCTTCATCACTCCGAGTCTCCATAGCGCTATCTATCTGAATGAAAATTATACACTAGGACCGTTTATCTTTATTAAAAGAAGGTTACAATTATCTTTAATCGTCAAATGTGAGATCAGATGGTTGTTAGTTTCATCGACTCCAATTGAAGTGTACTAATTTTTTCTCATACTTGTGATAAATCTCTAGCCATCCGATTTCACATCAGACGGTTCACATCAAGCGGCTAGGACCGACTATTTTGGCTCATTTCATACATGTTATTGAAATCATTTTGATACCATACTCATGCCCCCTTTAGCCCACATGGTTTTATGGGTGCAAAGAAGCATTAGTTGTCATATAATACATGCACGGGAAGGCTCCAAATATACATTGTAATCACTACCAAGCAATGGTGCCTAAAAAACTTCTCTAACAATTAAGAAATTCTGATCTTGTGAAGTTACCGGATTTTGATTATGCAAAGTCTCAATATACATAATTACGATGATAATGATGTTGATGATGATAAAAGAAAATTTAAGGGGGAAAAAAAAACGAGCGCATAAAATCCACTCGCTCCCTTAGGCAAAGGGTTCCTTGAGTTTTTTTTTAAAAAAATTTTAATATGAAATTTTGGGATCAATTTAAGAATCAACATAAAATTACTTTTCAAGCCAAAAAATGGACTTTTAGTTGTTCAGTACTTGGATCTTGCCTTCTAAAAATTGAACGGTCTTTTTTCATTCTTGGGATATTTTATTCTTAGGATATTAGTAGCTAGGCTTAAGAGGTTACATCTCAAAATTTCTGGGTGCTAAAAGGGTTTTGCTAGAGGGAGTAAATGGACAGTATGCTCCCACTGGAGCATAGAATCTTTTCAAAAGAAAAAAAAAAAAAATGATCTCCCCCATCCAAGAGCTAAAAGGAAAAAAGAAAAAGAAAAGTTTGTTGATCTCCACTGTCCATCAGAAAGATCGAGGGCTTACCATCACCACTGTAGACATTATCCTTTGGCCAAAATGCATTCCCGTACCCGTACGTGCCCTTTGTCTCAAACAACCACCTATTGTGATCAAAATCCCCTGTTTGGCTCCTCATCAACAATGACTTGCTTGGCGTCATAACTGACATCCTCCTATCCATCTTTCCTCCACCCCCTTGAGGTGCAGGCAGCGGCAAAGCGCCAGCCGAGAAGTCGTGCATGCCATGGCCGCCGTCGTCATCATCATCAAAATCACCCACCTTGTAGGGCTCCTTACAACCAGGGCAATTTCCGCTGTCTTTTTGGGCATCGAGATAACAATCTCGGCATATCTTGAAGCCACATTCACATGGGCCGACGTCATGGCCTCGCTCGTCACGCATGGCCTTACCATCGCATGCAGGCATGGCACATGCCGACCCCTTGGCACCAGCCATCTGGGGATGGGTCACCTCTGAGTCGATCACCTTCAAGGTAGAAAAACATCCAATATAGCATTACAATAAAGAAATCTAACGAACAAAAGGAATAACATAATAAACAAATCGCAATCACTTTTAGCAGTTAGATATGGAATTGAAATGTTGGAGGTGTGCAATTAATCATGCCATATGTATATATGTTCTCGGATTTTATATAGGAAGAAGATACCTCTAGCTAACCAATTTTACATAAAAAAAACTACAGGTAATCGTGATGTCATTATACCACGTAAAAGGATCTTACACTGTGCAATCCCAAGTATAATATGTTATGTAAGGTCACATTAACAACCATGACCATGTGGTTTATCACCATCCAATCGCCTAGTTAGAGTATCGTGGAGAGAGTAGAGATGGTAGAATAATTACGAAAAACAAAAAAAAAACAAAAGGAAAGGAATTATGAAATTTCTTTGAAGGGGAACTATACTATATTCTATGTATGATCAGAGTATCAGGGTCATCAAGAAAGGTTTGGACGGTGTTAAGGGGGTGTGGCATGTATAATTGAATCAGTGACATACATCACCGTCCAAAACTTTGGTCGGGCTGTGATTATTGCCATGATAATATACTTTTATGATCCATTGCCATGACACATCGTCAATCATTTGAAAATTTATATTTTAAACTTTCTACCCAAAGAATAACATATTCTCTCGATTTTAAATCTAACAATCAATAATAATTATAACCTCTTCCTATAAAAAAATAAATAGCCTCATCCATACATTTCCTCCTAATATAGTGAGACTTTGAAACAATATTTTGTTAAAAATGGGGGACTTCCAAAAATGATCATTGCAATGGCCGTAATTTGATAAGATGGCAATCATTCATTTTCCACCCATCTGTTCTGAAAAATTAAAAACACATGATAACAAGCGTTAGTTTCTGGTATAACAACTGTTATCTTCATAAATGCTCGTTATTTGGATAAGATTCATATTGTTTCCATACAACTAACATTAGGGGTGGCAACTGGTTCGGTCACATCTCGGTCTAGACCTGGACTTAGAAACAATGACATGGGACCCGGACCTGGATCTGAAAACAAAAATATAGTGTTGGACCCGGACCCGATCTGATCCAACCCAAAACTTAAAAAATCTATGTATTTAACTATATTTCATGCGTTGGGATCCAAAAAAGATTACTGAACGAACCCGGAGCTGAAGGTCCAATATTTGGACCCATACCAGCTTACCCCTTGGATCCTGGGTCGGGTCCCAATCCATTTCCACCCCTAACTAAAATCTTGTTTCATCAACCAATTAAGATAACGGGCGACGGGGCATCTCTATTATTATATTATAATGTAAAGCCAAAATCACATTAAAACAACGCAACGGACCATAACGAGTGGTTAGGCATCACAATTATAATGGAGAGCCTGGTATGACCAAAATTAAGGTGCGGCAATGGGCCGGTGTTAGGCAGATTAGGCCCCGACAAGCTCGAAAACTAGCTTGGGCCCGATCCGATCTATTGGAAGGGCCGGGCCTTGGTATGCCAAGCATGGGCTGAGCCCATCGGCTGCCCAGACATGCTGTTCAGCCAATTGCCACCCCTAATGGAAGTAAAGCCCTTGATTTGAGATCATGACTCACCTTGTCCATGAGATGTGCACGAGTAACGCTATTGAACCCGCCGGTAAAAAGAGAATTCGACACATATTGCTCCTCGGCCTTGGCCGCGACGGAGGACTCGGCCGTCATCGGTTGATTATCGGGGGTAGGGGGGATGTGGACCGTGTAGTTTGTGTAGTCCGCACTGATCTCCCCGGACATGTCTAGGTCCTCTCTGGAGAGGCTCACATACCGCCCGCTTGACGTGCGGCGGGCGAATTTCACAGTTTGGCTGCTGGTGCTGGAGTTGGAGTTGGGGGCCAGGGGGGGAGTGCGGCCGCTTTGGGTGCCCGCACCACCCGGGGTGCGGATGGCCTTCTTGGAGGGCTGGTGGGATAGCGACGCCATTGCGCCCGAGGCCTCTCGCGATCAAGATCAAGACAACTGTTCGACTCTAAATCAACCGTTCTCCAAATCAATTCCCTCCCCCTAAAAACGTTTCTCTATCGATCCCTGGATCACTACAACAACAAATCTACGTACATGAATAACAAATGCACCACTCTCTCCATCGATAAATCTCTCTCTTTCTGTGGGCAATAAAGAGGATTAGAAAACTGTCTCAATTCCCTCTAAATGCATCAAAATCCAAACTCTTTCCAACTTTTTTGATATCTTCTCTGGTTATTTGTCCAGACTTCATTATCCTTCTGCAGCTTCAAAGCAAAGCCAAGATTCAATACTCTAACCTCAAAAACCAGGAGAAGGCGCAATTTTTTTTTCTCTTCTTTTTGATCAGAAAATCACAGTGAAATCCTGGGGCTCCATGACTGATCCAAAAAACACAGAGATCAAAGAATTGGAAGATCAGAAGCTCCTAGATCACAATGTGCCATCTTTGGTTCACGTATAAACAGCATTTCTTCAAAACCCATTTCTTATCTCTAATCTGTACGCCATTAGAAGAGCCCCAGATAAAAAATATATAAAAAATTACTAAAAAAACCAAGAGAATCAGGTTTATGTGATAAAAAGGAATTGGCAGTATGGGGAGCACGTCTTAGAGAGAGAGAGAGAAGAGAAGGTGGTGGAGAAGGTGTTGGGGAATATGGGGATAGTATTAAATGTTTGGCCAAGTCAAGCTTTTTTTTTTTAACTGTAAATTGATTTTTATTTCTTTTTATTGTTTGAGAAATTGTGGGAGGAGTTTGTGGGGGTGTGTATAAAAAGGACTGGGTCGAAGGTGCATCGAAATCCACTGGTTTTAGAGAGAGAAAGCGTGAGTTGCGGTGGAGAGAAGATGGGAGAGTTTGTGGAGAGAGAGGGGAGGGAGCTGGCTTTGCGTTGGTAGCACCACGCCTTACTTCATTTTCTTAATTTGGGAGCTGCATGCTCTCTCTCTCTTCTTTCTCTCACTGCAACTGCGTGCTATCTCTCTCTTCTTTCTCTCACTTCAAGTGCGTGCTCTTTCTCTCTCTCACTGCAACTGCATGTTCTCTCTTTCTCTCTCATTTTGGGAGCTGCATAGTGTTGTGCCATGTTCTCTCTCTTATTTTGGCACTGCAACTGCATGTTCTCTCTCTCTCTACATAGCGTTGTGCAATGTTCTCTCCCTTATTTAGGGATGAGAGAGGTACGTAGTGTTTCTCTCTCTTATTTTGGGAGGTGCATGGTGTTGCGTTGCGGCAGGTCTTCTGACAATGCGAGCTACTGTTTAGGTGGCAGCTGGGCCAATGATTTGCACGTAATAGGGTTTTTGGCAAGGGCCACAGGGCTGGTAATGGGGCTAGGGCTAGGTCCTGGGCCACAAAATTTGCACGAGGGTTAGGGCTAGACAAGGCTGGCCCAACCGCAATGGACCGGGGACCTGAATCGTAGACCCAACCCAAGTCGGCTGGCCCAACCGCAATGGACCCAGGACCTGAATCGTAGACCCAACCCAAGTCGGCTGGCCCAACCGCAATGGACCCAGGACCTGAATCGTAGACCCAACCCAAGTCCGGGTACGGGTAAAAAAAAATTGGATCCAACGAGTTAAGTATATTTGGACCCGAACCATTATTTGGGTCCGGGTCCGATTGTGCTTGGGTCCCACATATATTTTAAGGTCTTAACTTATGAAAAATAGCTAAAGTATATTCAAACACATATATATTTGAATTTTTGGATTGGGTCCTAGTTTCACATTAGATTTTTGGGCGTAAGTCTGGATCTTGTTACTTTGGACATGGGTCCAAGTCCAGCCGAACTTCGACCCTGAGTTGACCTGACCCGTTTCCACCCCTAGCCCAACCCAATTCTATTTTATTTTTTTCGTTTTTTTCTTTTTCTTTTCTCTCAATTTGTTAAGATGGGCCTGGCCATGCCTAACATGGACCAGGGTCTCTCTAGCCCGGCCTAGTCTAGGGTCAGTCCGGCCCGTTGTTAACCCTAGGCAACCATGGTTAAACTCGATGCTCTGAATAATACACGAACTTCAGTGAATGGAAGAAAGTTCATACAGAATGCGTACAAGATGTACTGCAGAACCCCCTTAGAAAAGTTGTTCGGATGTAGAAAAATCCTCTAATTAATAATCATGACCTCTAAAAGTTTTTATAAGGTTGCAACATTAAACGATCCAATTAAAGCGCATCTCAAAATTTTATTATAACATGTAATTTTGATGTAAAATTTTTTAAGATTATTTAAAAAGAAAAGTTTATATAAAACCGAGGCTCTAAACAACCAAATTTAAGCGCACCCCAAAAATTTCACTAGAAAAAGTTGTTTTGATGCCCAAATATCTTCAAATCGACCATCTCGACATCAAGATGCATAGACATGAGAAAAAAATGGATTTCAAGTTTTGGAAATAGTGTATTTTGTAACACATTTTTAGACGGTCATATTTCAAGATTTTCAAGTTTTCATAGATATGTCGATCTACATATAAATAAATATAAAAATATACTTTAAAGCTATCACAAAGATTTTCAATATTGAAACCACATTTCTCGACATTTATCTAAAAATATATTTTTATATCTAATTTTAAAATTTTAAACTCCAAAAATAGTTAAAATCAAGTAGATCTATAAACATATGAAAATCTTGAAAATGGACGGTCTAGATAATGTTTTCCAAGATACACTATTTATAGGACTGAAAATATTTTTTTTTTTCATATTTATACATCTCGATATCGAAATGATCAATTTGAGAATTTTCAACATTAAAACAACATTAAAACAACATTAAAACAACATTTTATATGAATTTTTTATGCACTTTTTTATTTCTGCATTTTTAAGGTTGCAACCTTATATAAACTTTTTCCATATATATATATATATATATATATATATATATATAT